TCCACATGCAGCTGCTGGGTGACCTTGGGCCAGTCACACTTCTTTGAAGTCTCTCAGCCCCACTCACCTCACAGAGTGTTGGTTGTGGGGGAGGAAGGGAAAGGAGAATGTTAGCCGCTTTGAGACTCCTTAAAGGGAGTGAAAGGCGGGATATCAAATCCAAACTCTTCTCTTCTTCTTCTTCTTCAAACTGCCTCTGGTTTCTGATTTGATGACAAGCTGCATTTCTCTGCACTGTGACAAACCTGTAGTTTGCTAAGGGTACTGCTAAGGGCATTGCTGGGGACCATATGCAGTGGTACCTCGGGTTAAGAACTTAATTAGTTCTGGAGGTCCGAACTGAACCTGAAACTGTTCTTAACCTGAGGTACCACTTTAGCTAATGGGGCCTTCCGCTGCCACCACACCGCCACCGCATGATTTCTGTTCTCATCCTGAAGCAAAGTTCTTAACCCAACGTACTATTTCTGGGTTAGCAGAGTCTGTAACCTGAAGCGTCTGTAACCCGAGGTACCACTGTATTCCCCCCACAGAGCTACAATTCTCAGAGTTCCCTGGCAGATTGACTGTAAAGTATGGTTGCCATATGTTTGGGTTTTCCCGGACATGTCTAGGAATTTGCCCAGAAAATGGCATCTGGGCAGATTTTTATAAAATTGGCAAAATGGAGGCAAGGGAGGTTAGTATTTTTCAACAATATGGAGCAAAAAACCAACAACTTTGCTCGGATTTTTCACTTTGGGGAATATGGCAACCCTATGTAAAGCCATTCCCAGAATTGCTGCTCTGTGAGGGGAATAGGGGCATCTAAAGAACTCTTGACAGGGCTGGATTAAACCCCAAATCTTGAGACCTTCCTCACAAAGCTTTCCCCCAAATTGCTTGTGGCTTTTCCTCTTGTTCCAAAGGTAAGGATGTGTGCAAGAGCGCCACCTGGTGAGGCCTACTACTACAACAACAACAACCGCTTAACAGAGGGTGCTCTGGAACACCTGAAAAGTCTTATGTTACTTGCTCTGCAACAGGGCAGGAACTCAGGTTAAAGCTTGTCTTCTGATGTTGTCACCACTGACAATGTGCCTGCTTCAGATTCAGTCCCAGGCTCTGCAGTTTGTCCTCCCCCTCCCCACCCGCCTTTCCCACCAAATGTCCCCATTTCGAATTCCAGGACAGGGAGATCGTTAGCATTCAAAATGTGTAATCAAGCTTTCAGAATTCAGCCCACAGAGTTGCTTTAAAATAAGGAGAAAGGCCGAAGGAGATTTATTCTTGCCTGCCTGATGGTAAAAGCACATTAACTGATTGATTTATGATGGATAAAGGAACAGCTTCCATGCTTTGCCAGTCTCTGTTAGAATAAGGCTCACTTTGCAGCAAAGTTGTGTAAACATGGACCAACGGAGGAAGAATTGACTTTCCATCTTGTGTTTGTCAGGGCCTGACAATGTTTCCCATGCCATGGATTCTTTCACCAGGCTTGGTGCAATGGTTTCTTATGTCAGGCAGTGGAGGCTGGTCTCTTCAGGGAAAAGGGGCCACCAACCTCATTCTGCCCTCAGCCACCCCCACCTACCTGCCTTCTTGTTTGCAACCAGTCCAGGGGGTAGGACTTCCTATCACTTTCCTCTTCCTTGGTCTCACACTTGTTCTTGCAGAACTTGGCAGAAAGAAAATGAGGACAAAACTCAGTTATGTTTCCTCTTGCCTTCCATTGGCTCTGTCTCCACCAACTGCTCCCTGCCTTCCAGTGTGTCAGGGGCAGAAGTAAGGAGCAGGGCACCCCGAGCACATCTCATTTTCAGTACGAAAAATAAGCTTGCAGTCCATTCACACAAGCATCTATGGATGGTTCCTGCCCCTCAAGCTGCTGTGTACCTGCTAGGCATGTAGGCTGTGCTCCTGTTGAATGCTACTTGTGAACAACCGTATGAATATACAGCTCAGCTATTTGTTTGCACAGGGGTGCAGATTGCACACTCATCAAATGTAAAGTGTGAACACTCCTCTAGTTTTTATGGGGAGAGAATGATTTTGGACATTTGAAATAGTCATATTCTGAGTCTGGTTTGTTCTGCAGGTCAGTACTCATTGTGAGTGCTGGCATCAGCAAAGAGCAAGGGTCAGCAAACTTTTTCAGCAGGGGGCCGGTCCACTGTCCCTCAGACCTTGTGGGGGGGCCAGACTATATTTTTTTTGGGGGGGGGAATGAACGGATTCCTATACCCCACAAATAACCCAGAGATGCATTTTAAATAAAAGCACACATTCTACTCATGTAAAAACATGCTGATTCCTGGACCGTCCGCGGGCCGGATTTAGAAGGCGATTGGGCCAGATCCAGCCCCCGGGCCTTAGTTTGCCTACCCATGGCAAAGAGCATCATTGGGCAGCTGCCCAGGCCCAAGCAGGACCCATCACTGGTGCCGGTCTTGGCCCCCACTTTGAAAACAGTAACGTACTACTCAGAGTGAAGTTAAGGCTGCCAGAGGATTACCAGTGGGCCCTTTTCCCAGGACTTCCTCAAACCCTATTCATTGTTTTAGGGACATAAAAAAGGTACATGACCACCGACAGTTCAGTCCAGTCACAAACGACTCTGGGGTTGCACGCTCATCTCACTTTACTGGCCGAGGGAGCCGGCGTTTGTACATAGTGACATGGAATTCTACTCAATATTGATCCAGAGCAGAACTCTGACGTATAGTTAGCAGAGCAACAACTTAAACATGTTGTAGGATTCCCAAAAATAGACCAGAGGCAATTGTATTTCATCCAGCAGAGCTTGACTGCTATTGAAGGCAAATGAGCATAATGGTTACAAATCCAATACATTCAGGATTGGCACTGTCCATAAGAAGTCCAGTTGCAGCAGACTTAGCTTAAACTTACAATAACTTGTAATAAGTCTAAACCTTAACACTATCTGTGTACAGAACACCACACCAGGAGGAAAAGAGATAGAAAGAGAAAGTGAAACCTAGGCTGTTTCTGGCCCTCCTTTTATAGTCAGCATGACCTTGACTAAAAGGTAACAGGAGAACTTGTTTAAGCCAGCTGTACTCAGCTTCTCTGAAGGTATAACTCAAACATCATGAACCTGCTTGTTTCTTTCACACAGAGAAGCTTCCAGAACCCTCTTGAATTAAGTAGAACAGGAAAGATCTCTACACATCAGATCTATACTTTCTGTACCAAGAAATGCAAACTGACACATAGGTCCAATCAACAGTCCATACAGCTTAGTGTATGCTGAATGGCAGCAGCTCTCCATGATTTCAGCCCTACCTTGAGATGCAAGGGTACAGGAAGGAGTACCTCTGAGCACATACAGAGTGTCCTTTCCTTAGTGCTTCCAGCAGTGGTGCAGTGTGCCAATTGTAGGTTCTGGACACGAGCATGTCCTTTCCTTGGTAACTTGTATTTCTTCACTTCCTGCTCCCTTTGGGACTCCTCCTGATCATTCTGCTGAGTGGGCCCCTGGGCACCACTGGCTCTGAGTCTGTTTACATAAACCTTCTACAACACATACCTGCCTCTCCTTTCTCCCACCCTCCAAACTCATGTTCAGAGCCTGCTTCTTCCATGAAGCACTAAATGTTGGATGCTTGCATTCACCTCTTCTGCCATTGCCTCACTCTCCCCTTTCCCTGTTGTCTTTCTCTCCCCGCCCCATCTAAATGTATTATACACCTCAGAGTCTGTCCTTTTGCTTGTGCTACTTATTGCCATGTATACAATGGCAAGGGTCATCGTAGCTCAGTGGCAGAGCACCCACTTTGCATTCATAAGGTCCCAAGGTTCAATACCCAGTGGCATCTCCCAGTAGGAATGGGAGAGACCCCTGCCTGGAACCATGGAGAGTTGCTGCCAGTTGGTGCAGGCAGCACTGCACTAGGTGGAACAGATGGATTCAGCATACAACAGCTTCCTACATTTCTGTGTGCTCATGTCATTAAACAATGAATAACAATTATTATCTGCTGTACAGCCGCTGATTGAAAACTCCTGCTGCATTCTGCTGGCTCTTTTCCCCATGGCTGGGCAGAGCCTTTGCAGGCTCGCTGCCATTCACAGCAATGCAGGCAAACACAGCAGAAGTGACATTTACGATGGAGTGTCACTCAAAACGCTGACTCTTGCACACTCAGCCGCCAAGTGATGCACATGGCTGGCGGGAGGAAGGCAGGATTTTGCCTTCACGCTCAATATTTCTATGAGCAGGCTCTGAGGAATGCCTAGGCACCTGGGATCGAGATTTGAGGCTTTCAGGTTTGGAATAAGCACATTTCAGGCCCAGGGACATCTTCCCAAAACAGATTACTTGGCTCAAGGCTGCTGAGCTGAGCTTAAGAGCAGCACCACACTCCTTGGCAGCAAATTCCACTGTCGAACAGCTCTTACTGTCAGGAAGTTCTTCCTAATGTTTAGGTGGAATCTTCTTTCTTGTAGTTTGGATCCATATTGATTTATCATTCGATTTCTACCCTTCCCCATTTCCTCCGCACGACAGCCATGCAAGGTGGGTCCGACTGAGAGACGGGGACTAGGCCAAGGTCACCCAGGGAGCTTCGTGGCCGTGTGGGGACTTGAACCCCCAGCCCTCTAACCACTGCACCGCGCTCTCCTCCTCTGCCCCTTGGCAAGGCGCCTCTCCTCTCTCTTCCCACCTCCTCTCCCTTCTTCCCGGCCGAGGGAGGGAAGGAGGGAGGGAGGCAGCGCGCTGCGTCTCCAGGGAGGGTTATTAATCCAATAATTAAACATTTATTGGTGGCGGCACCTGCTTTCCGCCTGCCCGGCCCCCGGGGGAGCGGCCAGCCCGGCCCAGCCTCGGCAAGGCAGGCAGGAGGAGGAGGAGGAGAAGGAGGGGGACCAGAGCGAGCGGCGCGGCAGAGCAGCAGCGGCGGCGCCGCAGAGGCAGCAGCGGCGAGGCTCTGGATGCTTGTGCGCTCGGATGCCAGCACACGCGGCGGAGCGCTGGAGCGGCGGCGGCGGCGGCCAGGATGCTGCGCTACCTGCTCAAGACGCTGCTGCAGATGAACCTCTTCGCCGACTCGCTGGCGGCCGGCGACGCCCTGGCCAACTCGTCCGAGCTGCTCCTTGGTCTCAACTCCTCGGCTCTGGCCGCGCTCAGCCCCAGCCTCCTCGACCTGGGCAACCTGACCAGCCTCAACGGTGAGGGGCGGCGGGGCCCGGGAGGGGACCGGCACGAAAGCTGTTTCTTCCCCCCTTCCACCCACCTCTGGGATGCGGGTGGGAAGCCAACATGGGATATGGGGAGGGTGGAGGGCGCAGGTGGGAGAGAGATTAAGACCCGGGGCTTTGCTTTCCCCTCCCCACCCACGTGAAGCTCTTCTCACCCCTTAGCCCAAATGAACGTGTGAACGCCGTTTGTGCCCCCGCTCACGCGTGGGCACTCTGTGCATGCTCACGGGCACGCTTCTTTTCTCGCGGCTGGTTTTGCGGCGTGGGGAGCGAGTTCAGTTTCGGGCAACGATCCTACTATACGCACCGACCTGGGAGAACGTCCCGTCCGGTTCTGTTTGCGCAGCAGGGGCTTGTGATGTGAATGCACCAGGGCTGGGCTTTGTAGCATCCGGCCAGTGGGGCGGGACGGGGGATGGGGGTGTTCCCAGTTGTGGCGGGGCAAGGGTTGTTGAGGTCCGGGGTGTGTGGAGAGGATGTTCCTCGTTTTCCCGTTAGAAAGCGGGAGAAGGGAGCCCACATCCCAACGAGTGTCCATGCAGAAACTCGGGGCGATCCTAGCGCATAGCTGCTCGTTCAGACATGCTTGCGTCTCTCGGGAGTGTCAGAGGACAGTGGGTCTGTGTCTCATCCTAGGAATCATGAGTTCGCCCGTCTGTCTCTGCCCCCAAACTCGCGTCGACGAGACGCACCCATCTCCCATACATGTTTCTGGCGAATCGGAGCGTTTTCCAGGTTCAGACGGACGCGTTGCGAGCATCTACTGGGGCAGAAGCGCACGTGAGATTTGCTGGTTTCCTGCCTGGGACTCTTGTGTGCTCCCCTCGCCACTGGACTTTCATTATTGTGCATAGCCCTCCTGGCGTGCCTTTAGTAGCAAGATGAATTTGAAGGGGTGGGGGTCATCTGCACGCTTACTCAAGAAGTCCCACGGATCTCGTATTCACTTGCATAGGATTGCAGCTGACCATCTTATGCGCGCACAAGGGAAGAGGTCCCCTTGAACTCAGTAGAACTTACTTCCGAGTCAGCATGCATAGGATGAGACTGCAGCAGGGATCTGTTCCCTAGTGAAACCCAGATCCTATGCGCCTTCACTCAAAAGAAACCCTACCCAAGTTCAATAAGAATGAAACTTTCAGTTAGGGCTGCAACTCTATACACGTTCACGTGGGAATAAGACCCGAGTTAAAGGTGCATAGTAGGACACTTCCTGCCGGGTTGCAAATCCCAAGCTTCCCAGCCGAGATCCGATGCCGGAGGTCAGTCTTGAAATACCCGAGATGAAAACGAAAGTGCCTCTGAGCACATGCAAAGGGCAATCCTCTCATCTCGTTGCAGCCTGCCCTTCACGCTTGTCAGGGGGCAGAGTCTTCCGGTCAACTTGAGCTCCGGAATTTCTTTTCTTATACGTGATTCCAGCGTGTCACTGGAAATCCTGGCGTGTTCCTATTCTAATTTCATCTAGGCTGCGTGCATAGGATTTTGTGCGCATGCACTGCTCAGGTGTGCATTTGGCCGGCGTGCATGCTTGCTTGAGCTTCCCCACACCGGAGTTTTAGAGCCACTCGACACTTTGCACGGAGGCAAACCCGGGTTTGCCATCGGGTGTCCGGTCAGTAACCAGCTGCAGTCAATCGGGGCGAGTCCCCCTGGCGAGCCTGTCGGAATAGCGCACGTGTTTGCACTAAGTGGCCATGCGCTGCTGCAGAGAGCATCTCCCTGCACCACTCACTGCCAGATAGGCGAGCCCCTAAGTAGCGTAAGATGCGCCCGTTCCACGAATGCAATTGCCAGACCTGGAATAAAGGTACTGCTGATGGCTGTGCAATGATGACTAGTTATTAAGATGCGGAGTGTCCTGATAAGCTGCCGCATCGTCTTCGGGTTAGAGGATGTCGATACGGGCAGCGCTCCTCGCTGTCACTCTCGGCGTGTTTTATTTAAGCGGTTGTTTCCTGCATGCAGCTGATATGAACTGTAAATTGGCCAACCAGCGCCCTCTCTTGGAAAAGGTTGGTAAACACCAAGCACAGCGCTGCTTTCCCTTTCCCCTAAAGACTTGCTATACTGATATTCAGGAAATTCAGGAATGACTGTGTAGGTAAGCCCAAGCAATTACACCGAGAAAACTTTTCTCAAACCTGTGCCTATTTGCTAATAATAGACAAGCTCTTGACTCAAGTTACCCGAATAAGAAACAGACCTGTGGCTCAAAGATTTGCACATCTGCTTATGTGATGCCTCACAGTGGCAACTTTAAAGCAGAGAGGAGGAGACTTCGCCCCTCCATATAATATTGAATTCCTGGTACTAACTTCAGACCCCAGTCAGTGGTCAGGGATGGTAATCTTTGCTTTAAAGGAAGGGGGAAAGGGAAATACTTTCCCAGTCTTAGAGAAAATGCAAATCATGTTCATGCCATACTGAGATGTGATGGGATTGTGTATTTTATTTCATTTTATTTTAATTTGCCAAACGAAAAGAAGGATTTGTGAATAGCTGGCTCCTGGCCTATTCAAACGATTAGTCTTTTTATCTATGCAATACAGATGATTTCATGAACCAAATGCACATGATCAATTATTCTTTCAAACAAAGCAGGGGTCCTTATTTCTATGGCAACAGGCATCCTCAGTGTCCAGGTAAGTGGTCTGCAGAATCCAGTCTCTAAACACTCTGTGCTTTCTAGGAATTAAGTACTTGAACATGTCTTTGCTTTTTCCATCTTGGTTAATTGAGCAAAGTCCATGCATTCCTCAGTAATGTATTGCAGTTACGGTCATTAGTGAGCTGTCATACTCTGCAGTTTCCTTCCTCTTGGGGTATTGTTAGAAGCACCATTCCAAATCTCAAGTTTCCTGCCTGTAGGAATGTGCCCTGCCATCATTGCTCAGTAGCTGTCAGATTCACACAACTGCTTGAAGTGGTGAAGTTGGGTCTGGGCTTACACACTGGGATGGAGTGGGAATTGGTTCCCCAACTGAACAAAGAAAATGAGTGTGTCCGGGAGAAGGCTAAGCCCTACCTGACAATGCTAGTTCACACCTGTGATGGGGAAGGAGAAGGCCACTGGACAACCTTCCCATTGCTTCTAAAATGTCATCATGCACTGCCAAACTATTTTCAAACCTGTCTTGAGAATCTCGTGGCTTAGGGATATTGGTTCTTTTGTTTCAAAAACCGGAATGAAAGCAAATATTCCCAAGGTTTAAAAAGCTGTGTTTGGTGCCAAATCTTGTGCCCTGGAGTGTGTAGGCACATCATGTAGTTGGACTAGGAATGTCTTATGTAAAGCTCTGCAAATAGCCCCATCCCAGATACAGAAGGGAAATGCCAGGTGAGACTGAAAGGCAGTTTACAAATGTTGATGTTTGTCCTGCCACGGGCAGAGTTATGAAGTAACATGACACAAAGAACACACAAGTTGTTTTCAAAATTATGAATGTGAACGTTACAGAAGGTCTTGTGTATTATTATTATTATTATTATTATTATTATTATTATTATTAACACCACCTATAGAGCATCATCTATGCATAAAATTTGACAAGGGGGAAATGGGAAGGGAGCAGAAATGAAGGCAGGGGGAATGTGCGCATGCTTCAGTTACGTTCACTTAGACAGAGTTGCAGGTGCAATTGCAATAGAATGGGGTGGGGAACATTTTTCAGCGCGAGGGCCACATTTCCTTCTGGGAAACCTTCCAGGGGCCACATGTCAGTGGTGGGCGGAGCCAGAGGCAAACATAGGTGGAGCAACATACATAAATCTCACCTTTCTGCAGTAGGCTGGCTTCTGCACATACTCAGATACCCACCTCTGTCCTCCATCTAGGCAAGCTAGAGGCATTCTCAGAGTCAAAGGACTCCTTCTAGCCTGGCAAAAACATCCAAGGAAGGTGCGAAGCAGATACGGTGAGGGGGGTGGCCTGGGGAGAGGGGGCGTGGCCTAGGGGAGAGTCCCAAGCACCAAGAAGAGTGGAATGGAGGACTGATTTGTCCCTTGAGGCTGAGATTCCCCACCCCTGAAGTAAGATATGAAAACTAGGTGATGGAAGGAAAGAAGGAAAGGAGGGAGGGGCTGGATGAATGATGGCTTGTGCTTCATCCGTCACTGTTCACAGGATAGCTCAGCCGGTAGAGCATGACACTCTTAATCTTGGGGTTGTGGGTTCAAGGCCAAGTTGGGCAAAAATATTCCTGTATTGCAGGGGGTTGCACTAGATTGCATTTTAACCTGTATTTTATCTTGTTTTCTTCTTTTTCTTTTCCCCCCTTATTATGTTTTTACTGAAATTTTATTGATGTTAGCCGCCCTGAGCCTGGCTCTGGCCATGGAGGGTGGGGTATAAATAAAATTATTATTATTATTATTATTATTATTATTATTATTACTATTACTATTATCATTATATGACCCTCCTGGTCCCTTCCAACTGTACAATTCTATGTTCAGTCCCTCCACCATCCCAGCAAACTGGCTTTCAAATAGATTCTTTTTTAAAAAATTTTTTTAAAATACTCTGTTTTAGCTGTTTGAGTGTACAGAGCTAGTGTCATGCTGGTGTTTTTAACTTACTCCCTTGTAATCTGTTTTATGTTGATATTCATTTTCTCTGCCAGCCTTTGTAAGCTGCTCTGATAGCTGTGGCTGAAGAGTGCGTAATAAGTGGCAGACAACCATTCAACAGGTGTAGCATTTCCATCACTGTATATGCTTGTTTGTGGCAGCAGCGGGAAAGCCGCCTTCATCTGTAGAATTTCTACCTGCTCCCACAGATCTTACAAGCAGGCATCACTGGAAGGAGGGCACCGTTTCAGCCGGGCAACCTGTTTGCCCTGAAACTGTGACTTCTCAAAGTCCTGTGGGCCGTCTGCTACAGTGCATCTATGTGATGATGCAAGAAAGGAGAAACTTGAAATTATAGGGTCACTGGTAAAAGAATAGCTAAATAAATAATAGAGGAGAGTCTGTGCTGACTGAATCAGTCACTCCAGGAGTCGTCCCTTTTTAAATGTAAATGAAGCTGAACGCTGAGCACTTGCTCTCTGTTGGTGTGCAGTAGAGACCTCACCCTGGCCTCCTTCGGGCTCCCTGTCATAAACAGGAGGCACTTTTCATTAGCATTATTAATTAGTATTGTTATTAATGCAAATGAGGGCAAGTGCACAGAATCGCAAATCTTTAAGTCAGAAGGGACCGCTGGGACAATGCAGTGTGTTTCAGTCCAGCTGAATGGATTCCTTCCCCCTCCCAGTATGTAAATCAAGCTCATTAAATTGTGTTTGGATAAAGCCTCATGTCTTTATAGATGGCTGTCCATTCTTTATCCTCAAAGTGCAAGTGATGGAGAACTTACTTTTACCACCCCTGGGCACTCTGTGTCAGTGGCTATTTCAGCTCGAAATGTGCCTTGTCTTGAACTTTCAATTAACCAACTTTAATTGGCATCCATTTGGGCCTTATTAATTCCTTCCACTGTCAGATTCATGAGGCTTTATTAGCCAGTATATTTATGCCCGTGAACGTCCTTAAGTATCAAGCTGCATCTCTGTAAACTAGACGGCTTGAACTCAACACAAATCTTTCCATAGTGGTTTTAGTTCCTTTGCACTTGGTGCTTTTGTCTGCAGCTTCCCTGCTTCCTTGACTGGCAGGAACTTCCATGCACACAAGCAGCAAGCACATAAGAATGCAATCAAATGCAATTTCTTGTTAAAATGCCCCATTCGTCCTATAAGCTCCCTTTAAGTGACAGGATTGGCCAGATGAGTCACTGTCTCCCTCTTGTGGCTGTACCATGCAATTGCCAATGACTATCCTACCCACGTTCGGGACGTGGGTGGCGCTGTGGGTTAAACCACAGAACCTAGGACTTGCTGATCAGAAGGTCGGCAGTTCGAATCCCCGCGACGGGGTGAGCTCCCGTTGCTCGGTCCCTGCTCCTGCCAACCTAGCAGTTCGAAAGCATGTCAAAGTGCAGGTAGATAAATAGGTACCGCTCTGGCGGGGGAAGGTAAATGGTGTTTCCGTGCGCTGCTCTGGTTCGCCAGAAGCAGCTTAGTCATGCTGGCCACATGAACCGGAAGCAGTACACCGGCTCCCTCGGCCAATAAAGTGAGATGAGTGCCGCAACCCCAGAGTCGGCCACGACTGGACCTAATGGTCAGGGGTCCCTTTCCCACGGCGTTTGAAGAAGATGGGTCTCTGCCTCAGGGAACCTACAACTGGAAATTTAAAATGGAAAGCAATGTGACATGGGAGGAGAGGGTAAACAGGGGGAAGAATATAGTTCATGGGTGGCATCCAACCAAATAGACCTGCTAATGCAAGGATTTCCGCTTGTGAAAGGGAGCTTTCCCACCCTCCTCTCCCCACAATAGATTTAGGGGGGCACATGGGGCACATTTAGGGGGGCACGTGGGGAGAGGGGAGGCGAAGCTCTTTTGCGTAGCCAAAAGTCCTTGTGCCAGCAGATCTGTTTAGCTGCCCTGTGTTCAAATGCTTGATTTCTCTCTCAGCATTCAAAGCTGACCTGGTAAGAACAATCACCTTTACCTCTGTGCAAGATTCATCTTCTGAGATTTACAGTCTAGCATTCTATCCTGACACCAGTTGACCTGATAGAATGCCCTCCGCAGAGAGCCCCACACTATCATCTTCAAGTACAGCTCTCCACGGCCTTTTCATTATAATGGGTACATCTACTAAGTCTCTTTAGATTCTTGCACTATTTTATTCCCCTGGCTGCTTCTCAGTTAGCTTTAGCTGCTGTGTATTCCCACCCTCACCCCCCCGTCTTGCTTTATTTCTAATTGGTTTGAGTGTCTAATTTTTTGATTGCATTTCAATGGCTTGCAACGCTCCAGGGAACCTGGCTGTGTACAAATGCAACAAACAAATAATTAAATACTGATTCCTACCTGCTGAAGAAATAATGTAAATACTGGAGCCTACTGGCTAATGTAGTGGCCCTTGCCTCAAGAGCAAGTTTGATTGCTGCCACCACGCGTTGTGCAGGATGAATGTTCATAAATAGCCTGTCTGGAGGTGACCTTAGACCCTGGGCTCAATGGTCTTTTATTTTGCACCAAAACATAGCACGCCCTTCCCCTTTTGCATTTGTGGACCCACCTGCTTGTTCTGCAGAATGGGGCCCTGGACTCCAGCATCTGCCTTGACATAGGAGTCAAAGAAGCTGCATTAAACTGTTGGTGGTCTGGCTTCCTACCGTCTACACCGACTGTTGGCTGCTGTCCAGAAGTTCAGGGGTCTTTTGCAGCCCTACCTGGAGATTGAAACTGGGAACTTGAGCATGCCAGACCCTCCAAGTGTTCCAGGGATGTCCCTAATTTAGAGAAGCCGTCCAGGTTTCTGATTTGATCCAGGAATGTCCTGCTTTCCCTTAAAGGCAGAGGTAAAGGGACCCCTGACCATTAGGTCCAGTCGTGACTGACTCTGGGGTTGCGGCGCTCATCTCGCTTTATTGGCCGAGGGAGCCGGCATACAGCTTCCGGGTCATGTGGCCAGCATGACTAAGCCGCTTCTGGCGAACCAGAGCAGCGCACGGAAACACCGTTTACCTTCCCGCTGGAGCGGTACCTATTTATCTACTTGCACTTTGAGGTGCTTTTGAACTGCTAGGTTGGCAGGAGCTGGGACTGAGCAACGGGAGCTCACCCCGTCTCAGGGATTCGAACCGCCAACCTTCTGATCTGCAAGTCCTAGGCTCTGTGGTTTAACCCACAGCGCCACCCACACCCGCTTTCCCTTAGGATGTCCCTATTTTCATGGCAGAAATGTTGGAGGGTGTGGAGTTATCCAACCCCCGAGCTGTCTGAAGGCAATTCTGTATAGGGAATTAAAAATAAATAAATGTTTTATTATGTTTTTATATACCGTATTGGCCCGGATGTAAGCCACACTTTCCCCCCCCAAATTCCATCTGTGAAAGGTTAAAGTGTGGGTTATATTTGGAACTGAGCACTGCATGCCTGCCTCCTGACACTACCGCCCTGAATGGGGGATGGGGCAGCTGACGACGGCTTGGGGAGGTAGTGCCAGGAGGTGGGTGCGTAGCATGCTTGGAACTGAGCGCTGGCACCGGCCACCCCCCCGCCTGGGCGGTGGTGCCGGGAGGTGGGCGGCACCCACAAATAAGCCTTCAAATTTAAAGGTGCGGCTTATTTGCGGGTGTGTCTTATATTTGGGCCAATACGGTATGTCAGAAGCTGCCCAGAGTGCTGGAGCAATCCCAAAAGATGTGTGGGGTATAAATGGTAAAATTGTCATTATGGAATGGGATGCTCCCTATTTTCATCGGAGAAAAGTTGGAGGGTATGGCATGCGAATGGGACACGGGTGGCGCTGTGGTCTAAACCACAGAGCCTAGGACTTGCCGATCAGAAGGTCGGCAGTTTGAATCCCCGCGACGGGGTGAGCTCCCATTGTTCGGTCCCTGCTCCTGCCAACCTAGCAGTTTGAAAGCACGCCAGTGCAAGTAGATAAATAGGTACTGCTCTGGCGGGAAGGTAAACAGCGTTTCCGTGCGCTGCTCTGGTTCACCAGAAGTGGCTTAGTCATGCTGGCCACATGACCCGGGAAAACTGCATGCGGACAAACGCCAGCTCCCTCAGCCAGTAAAGCGAGATGAGCGCCGCAACCCCAGAGTCGCTGGCAACTGGACTTAACTGTCAGGGGTCCTTTCCCTTTACCTTATGGTATGCGAAGCTGATGCTCTGCCCCTGAGCTGCAAGCCTAATTTGTGACTTAATACCACTTTAATAGTCCGTCAGAACCCCTTACCCTTTCTCTCACTCACCCCCGCAACTGAAAGCAGATGGAGTGCGCCAGTAAATAAAAGGTGCGTTCGAAACGGCGAGAGGCAGGGAGGCTTCCAGCCAGACCCTGCTGCCTCCTAATGAGCTGCCTCTATGCTTAGCGTGGAGCATCAGAACAGGCTCCAAAGGGGCGGAAAATCTTTATGCATGGAGCGTGTGCTGCATAAGCAGCAGGACTGCTGCACTGCACAGGGAGATGAGGCGGCTTTATGAGCGCTGGCACTTTCCCTCTGCTTTGAATCTGCCCCATTAGCATAAGCTATTTATCAGGGTGATTTGGCAATCAGGAGAAGCAGGAGCTGTGCAGGGGAAACGGCTGTCTTTAGGGGAGGAAGAAGGAAGGGCAAGAAGGCTCTGTGTGGGGTGGGGTGGCGAATGGGCTTGAGCCCCCACTTCTGCCTGCATTAAGTTTGGTTCCAGGTCCTCCAGAGCCTAGGAGCTAACTCCTATGGGTCGAGGTCCCTTGCCCCCCCCAAATAAAATACAGTCATACCTCATGTTACGTCTGCTTCATGTTACGTTCTTTCAGGTTACGTCCCGCGGTGACCCAGAAGTACCAGAAAGGGTTACTTCCGGGTTTCGCCACTCGCGCATGCGCAGAAGTGCAAAATGACATCACACGCATGTGCAGAAGCAGCGAATAGCAACCCGTGCATGTGCAGATGCGCTGCTGGGGGTTGCGCTCTTTTCATGTTGCGAACGGGCCTCCAGAACAGATCCTGTTCGCAACCAGAGGTACCACTGTATTTGAGGGGGCTGGGCCCCCCAAAGTTGATGGGCATTGGCATTCAAATTGTGTGTCGGTGCACCATGTCATGTGATCAGTTATGTGGGGTGGGGATTACCTGCACCCCCTCCCCAAATATTTTATTCAAGTTGGCACCACTGCTCCAGAGTGGAACTTTGCTTTGATGAACAAATGTCTATATACAGTCGTACCTTGGAAGTCAAATGGAATCTGTTCCAGAAGTCTGTTCGGCTTCCAAAATCATCGGAAACCAAGGCACAGCTTCTGATTGGCTGCAGGAAGCTCCTGCAGCCAATCAGAAGCTGCGGAAGCAGCATCAGACATTGAGGTTCCAAAGAATGTTCGCAAACTGCAACACTCACTTCCGGGTTTGCTGCATTCGGGAGGCAAAACGTACGAGTGCCAAGGCATTCATCTACCAAGTTACGACTGCATACTCATAGAATAGGCCATAGGATTGGAAGGGACCATGAGGGTCATCTAGTCCAACCCCTTGCAATGCAGGAATGGGCTTGAACTCATAGCCCTGAAATTGAGAGCCTCATGCTCTACCAGCTGAGCTACATATGCAGCTATGGTTTCTGGAGAAGCTGCGCTGACAGCTGGTGTTCTAGCATAGTGGCTAAGGCGAAGTCTGCACCCTAAGGGGACAATAATTTACCCCTCACAGTGCTACAATTCCCAGCACCACTAACAATCTGCAGCTCCCAGGATTCTTGGAGGGGGCAGGAGATGTGCTTTAAACGTGTATGGTGTGCACACAGCCTAAGACAGTGAGCTGCAGATGAGGTTCGAATCCTGCCTCTGCCGCGTGGTCATGAGATGGCCTTAAGTACGCCACTCCTTTTTAGCCTGCATTGCAGGAGGTTGGGCTATGACTCTCTGCAATCCTATCAAATAAGCAAAAACTCTTCCGCCACAAAAGAAATGGTTTCATCTTTAATGGCTGTGCAAATCAGATTGCCCCATGACCAACACCTCCCTACCTGCAAACCAGAGATGCTTTATCAGCCACTAACATTTCCAAACCGGAGCGCACAGCCCTGTTTGTGCACCCATTCCTCTAACCTAACCTTCCCCAACTGGTTGGCCTCCGGATGTTTTGGACTACAATTCCCATCACCCTGACCACTAGCCATGCTGGGTGGAATGGCTGATGGGAGTTGTAGTCCAACACATCTGGGACGACGACTCTGATGCGCTTCACCCCCTTTGCAGCAGCGGTTGCTTTACGGAGCTCTTGCAGATGTTGGTTTACTGCAGGCGTGGGGAGCCTTTGTTCCCCCAGATGTTGCTGGATTACAACTCCCATTGCCCCTGACCACTGGCCATGCTTGCTGGGGCTGATGGGAGTTGTTGTTCAGCAACATTGAGGGGGCGAGGGAAGTTCCCTACATCTGGTTTACGGCCTATGTGTTTCTGAGGGGTGCTTGATGCTCTGCTTTATGCAGGATATAGGCACCCCCCCCCCAGCAGCAGGGACATTAAAAGACTTTTGCATATGGTTTTAAAAAGCCACATTTCTACTTCAGATGCGTTGACACAGCTGGAGATGCCAGGGTGGTCCTGGGAAGGTTGCATAATTGGTGGTGGCTTTTAAAAGGAAAGGCTTGTTTGTGATTGACAGCTATTAGCTGGGCAGCCTGTGAGTGACAGCATCCTCCCCTTGACTCCCGGAGAGGGCTGTTTTGTCATTGCCTTAGAAACAGGCCCCCTCTCACTGGAGTGCAGCCAGCGGGGATCAGCTGATCCATACGGATCCCGCTGAGGTGGGGCCTCCATGAGATTAGGACATCACCTGTCAAGAGATAATGGCTAACTCTGAGGCTTTCCAGAGACAAAACTCGGCCACAAAGCAAAGCTTACGAGGGATATGGCCAGGGCAGGATCACAAGGGCCAGCTGGAGGGCTGCATTAAGGCTCCAGGCCCAGTGGCATAGCGTGGGTTGTCAGCACCTGGGGCAAGGCAAGCAATTTGCGCCCCCTAACCCGTGGATTTGTGCCCCCTAACCCTAAGCCCCAGATGTTGCGCCCGGTGCGGCCGGCCCCCCCTGCACCCCCCACGCTACGCCACTGTCCAGGCCTAAGGTTTCACATCTACAGCGACTGGGAGGGACTTTCACTGGGAGTATTTTCACCAGCCTTAACTGGAGATTCTGGGGACTGGACCTGGGACCTTTCACACACAAAGGATGTGCTCTCCTGCTGAGCCACACATCCCCTGTGCAAATGTAACAACAACAACAAAACAACAACAACAACAACAACAACAACAACAACAATAAATTTATTACTTGTACCCCGCCCATCTGGCTGGGCTTCCCCAGCCACTCTGGGTGGCTTCCAGAAAGACCAAAAATACACTAATATGTCATACATTAATAACTTCCCTGAACAGGGCTGCCTTAAGATGTCTTCTGAATGTCAGGTAGTTGTTTATCTCTTTGACATCTGATGAGAGGGCATTCCACAGAGCGGGCGCCACTACCGAGAAGGCCCTCTGCCTGGTTCCCTGTAGCTTTGCTTCTCGCAATGAGGGAACCGCCAGAAGGCCCTCGGTGCTGGACCTCGGCGTCTGGGCAGAACGATGGGGGTGGAGATGCTCCTTAAGGTATACTGGGCCAAGGCCGTTTAGGGCTTTAAAGGTCAGCACCAACACTTTGAATTGTGCTCGGAAACGTACAGGGAGCCAATGTAGGTCTTTCAAGACCGGTGTTATGTGGTCTCGGCGGCCGCCCCCAGTCACCAGTCTAGCTGCTGCATTCTGGATTAGTTGCAGTTTCTGGGTCACCTTCAAAGGCAGCCCCACGTAGAGCGCATTGCAGTAGTCCAAGTGAGAGATAACTAGAGCATGCACCACTCTGGCGAGACAGACCGCGGGCAGGTAGTGTCTCAGCCTGCATACCAGGTGGAGTTGGTAGACAGCTGCCCTGGATACAGAATTGACCTGCACCTCCATGGACAGCTATGAGTCCAAAATGACTCCCAGGCTGCGCACCTGGTCCTTCAGGGGCACAGTTACCCCATTCAGGACCAGGGAGTCCTCCACACCAAAAAAGAAGGCCAGTGGATTTGGGAGAACTTTTAGGCACCTCTGATTTAGGGCATTGTTGCATCCAGGGTTGGCACTGAGGCTCAACATCATCAGGTGCCAAAAACTAACCAAAAAACTGAAACTGACATGGGGACAAACAGAAAAAGGCGCCTTCACTGCAGTATGGTTTCCCTTCATCACATAAACAGTCCAACAAGGCAACTACAAAAATCTGCCGACAGTGTACGGCTCAATCTGGCTAACCTGATTCAAAAATACACACTCCTACCCCACTCACAAGGATGCGGGTGGTGCTGTGGGTTAAACCACAGAGCCTAGGACTTGCTGATCAGAAGGTCGGCAGTTCGAATCCCTGCGACGGGGTGAGCTCCCGTTGCTCGGTCCCTGCTCCTGCCAACCTAGCAGTTCGAAAGCACGTCAAAGTGCAAGTAGATAAATAGGTACTGCTCCGGCGGGAAGGTAAACGGCGTTTTTGTGCGCTGCTCTGGTTCACCAGAAGCGGCTTAGCCATGCTGGCCACATGACCCGGAAGCTGTACGCCGGCTCCCTTGGCCAATAAAGTGAGATGAGCGCCCCAACCCCAGAGTCGGCCACGACTGGACCTAATGGTCAGGGATCCCTTTACCTTTTTACCCCACTCACACGAAAACAATTCCCACTACAGCCAACCAAAGACAACCAACCACACCCTAGGCCACCCCCAACCTCTCTCACCACCAAAGAAACAACAAGCGAATAATAAGAGAACCCACACAGGTAATGCTGACACAAAACCCCACACATACACTAAGTAGACGTAGAGAAGCATAACCACCTCACCCCACTCCACTCACAATTCCCCTCCCCCTCTTCCCCCTCTTCCCTTCCAAAGTGTTTAAACCAATTCATGAACCAAGAACTTACACATTGGCCACTAATAATGAACCATATGTTGTAGGTGTTTTTCCACATTTATTACGCTATTTTTGTGATATAAAATTACATGAGAAAACTTGGGATACTTATTTGTATAGAAGTACATAGTCAGTTGCCTCCCAAGGTTCCTATCCCAAATCCTAGAGTCCTATGATTGTCATCTTCCTTCTTGATGCTGCTGCTGAAAAAGAGAGACATTTCTTTTCTCCTTGGTCATCCACAGTGGGCCCTGGGGCAGCATATTGAACAGGCACACAGCCCCTCTGGTCCCAGACTTGCACCCCACTGTGGTGAGATGTACTGTATTCCTATTTGAATTACAGTATGTACAAATCAGCTGAGATAAATTGCTCAGATAGGTGTCCTCTTTTGTTGTCTTCTTTTGTGGATGCATGACCTCTCCTGGGATGCGCAAGCAGCCGTTCCATTCCTGGTAGAGCAGCTGCTCTGCACGCATAGAGGTCCCCATTTCAACTGGGACCTTGGGGAGCTGCTGCCAGTCAGAGCAAGCTCTACCAGGCCTAAGTGGACAAAGAACCCGAGCTGGCAATTTCCGCAGAACAGAGAGGGGAACAGAGGTTAAGACATCAGGCCGTTGTCAGCCGAGGACTTTGTGGCCTCGTTATGGAAGCAAAGGGGCGGCTCTGTCGTTAGCGTGATCTATTTTTGATGCAAATCAACGCAGAGACCAGATGGGGTCCCTCTATCCCATAAGGGACATGAAGGCTGCAGCCCTGCTTAGCCCGGTTAAGTGAATTCCTGGCTTCCAGCAAAAGCTAAGAAGAGGAGGTCAGGAGTGGGCGGCGGATGGAACAGCAGCCAGGCAGCTGTGGGCATGTTCCCTACCAGAGGAGGCTTCTTCGCGCAACGCTCCCAGAAGCCTCGCTCCCCATGCTGAGTTTGCAGAGAAGACTGTCATTAATTAGCTGCTTTGTCTCCTGCAGGCCGAGTGGAGCTGAGTTGCTGCTCGGGGCTGGCAGGAGGCAAGTCCCCGCTGCGAGGCGGCAGCAGGGACCGGAGTGAGTCGATAGCCTTTAAGAGGATAGCCGCTCCCCATAAAACAGCTCCTGGGCCCTGGCTTCTGGCAGGTCTCTCCTCCCCCTTAAACATTGTGTGTGGGGGGAGCCTGTTGGTCCAGACCTCTGGCAGATGGAAGAGACAGCTGCTTGACTCAATCGGACACCCGTGGCTGGCTGGCTGGCTTCTGCCTCGCTGCCTAGGGTGCCTTGCAAGAATTTTTCAGCTGCGCCCCAAGACCAGCTCATTCTTCTGCAACGTGGCCCAGAGGTTAAGGCAACCTTGCCGCACCCTGAAGCAGATTGACTTCCAGGTGCCCCCTTCCAAGTCTCAGCTTTAATTTGAATTCTGCACTTGGTGATGATAAACTAAAATGGGTTTCTGTGGGATGTAACATCACTGAAGCAGTCAAATACAGAATTTCCTGTTTGCTCCAGCCAGGAGGAATTCCTGTCACACCTGGTCTGGAGCATCCTCCCTGTGTGTGACCAGGTAGATGGGCGTGACTCTGGCAGGCCCTATAAAAGAGCCAATCACGCAGCCATCTCGCTCTTGTCTCTTTGACTCTTTTTGGCTACTTACGCTCTTTTGCTCTTTGCTGGCTCTCAGCCAGCAGCACATTGCTCATCCCTACACAAGATGAAGCCACACTTTGTATTTCTATAAATGTAACTGCAACTATAAGCTAAAGCATGCCTTCAGAAAACTACTGTGAACTGAATGTAAGTAAACTTTATGTTGCTTTTAATGAAGACTGTTGTATTATTATTTGAAGAGCGAAACATAAGGGGAAACTTACCAGGAACAATCCGGACTGGACAAGCCAGACTGGATTGCTTAACTCAAATGATATTCACGAATCCATCAACTAGCTTCCAGAAATGTGCAAGGGAATGTGCTCTGCTACTTACTGTACAAGCATGAGTGAGGAGAGATAATATTTAATCAATATATCCTCTCCCACCTTTCTGCAGCATTCCCACACTAAGACCAGCACAAGACTACCATGAAAGATTTGGTGAACTATGTGATGTAGAATCCAGAGTTGGGGGGGACTTGGGTGCTTTATGCTGTGCCCCATAATTTTGTCTCCCTCTACCTGGCCTCCAAGAATCATGGGAACTGTAGTTTGTTAAGGGTGCTGGAAATTGTAGTTTTGTGGGGGGTAGGTTGTAGTTCCCATGATTATTTGGGCAAAAGTATGTGCTTTAAAGTAGGGACGCAGGTGGCGCTGTGGGTTAAACCACAGAGCCTAGGACTTGCCAATCAGAAGGTCGGCGGTTTGAATCCCCGTGACGGGGTGAGCTCCCATTGCTCGGTCCCAGCTCCTGCCAACCTAGCAGTTCGAAAGCACATCAAAGTGCAAGTAGATAAATAGGTACCGCTCCGGCGGGAAGGTAAACGGCGTTTCCGTGCGCTGCTCTGGTTCACAGAGTCATGCTGGCCACATTACCCGGAAGCTGTACGCCAGCTCTCTCGGCCAATAAAGCGAGATGAGCGCCGCAACCCCAGAGTCGGTCATGACTGGACCTAATGGTCAGGGGTCCCTTTACCTTTATGTGCTTTAAATGTGTGGGGTGTATGAAGCCATGAGCAAAAACAATTTTATTTTTATTTTTTTTATTTTCAATTTAGCCCTATATGGCAGGGCTAGGGAAACTTTGGCCTTCCAGATGTTTATGGACTACAACACCCATCATCCCTGACCATTGCCATGTTGGCTGGGTCTGCTGGGTGTTGGAATCCACCCGCTTCTGAATGATCACAGGTTCCCTATCTCTGCATCCAGAAACTTAGCACGGCAGCCCGACTCTCAAGTCCTTGCTTTGCATTTGAAAGTGGCTGCATTGCTTGGCTGGCGAAGGGAAATGTCAGAGGTAGAGGCAGTTGCTAATTGAGGAGCATCAAAGCCCCACCTGATGGCATTTCCAGCATCTGGGAAGCTTTGTCGTGTGCTTGCAGAATCAAGAATCTGAACCGCCTAACATCATTCCGATCATGACTTTCAGAAATGCTCTTGAGGAAAAAAAGAGGGAAGTAATGGCTTCTTAGAGATGTGTAGCAAAGTTACGGACATGATTTTGTACACATCCCAACCTATATGTCAGGAACGGGGAAACTCGGGCTCTGGCCCTTGAGGCTTTTCTATCAGGCCCTTGGGACTCTTCCAAGGCCACAACCCCTCTGCCCAGCCACAAATCTATCCTGATCCTGCCCCTTGAGTGCTTTTGCCTGGCTGTATCGATTTGTGTGCCTGTAGAAGCTTTTGTATGGGCGGAATGTCAAAATTATGGGTGGAATGTCACCTAGAAAGGGAGAAAACAGGAGTGCCTGGTGTGCTCTGGTCCATGGGGTCACGAAGAGTCGGACATGACTAAACAACTAAACAACAAAATAGACAGGAAGGAGGTGCCTCTGTTGTTCTGCCTCCTCTTGACTCTAACCCCACCCACCATCGACATGCGGCCCCCAAAAGGTTGCCTGTGAGGAAATGCAGCCCTCCCTGTCAGGAGTGAGCCAGCAGTAAATCACACAAAGCAAGTGGAGTTAACTTCTTATTAGAAAAACAACAACAGGATCTGCACAGGAGTGTGAGGCCCAATGAGCACAGCAACTTTTCTTGGGTAGGCCTTGCCCTATGAAGCAGTTGTGGAAACGCTCCATTTGTGTTCCCCTAGAGCTGCCTCTGTATCCAGTGTTAGTCCCACTCAGAGTAGACCCATTCAAAAGAATGCATCTGAATTTTCAGTGCGGGTTTACTCTGAGTATTAGTGAGTTGGAAGCAACCCACACTTTGTTCAGGTGTGATTTTAGGGTGAGTTTAAAGGAACTTTGCCCCCATCATCACTGCTAAGAGCTCCTTCCTTTAAGGCTTCTATTCTTGTGCCACCATGTGGTGAAAAAGAGTTAAAACGGGAAGGGAAGGGAAGGGAAAGGAAGAAGGAAGGAAGGAAGGAAGGGAGGGAGACCAAGTCATTCCACCCAAAGGAAAGCAAGAACATAACCTATAGGGCCCAGCAAATATATTTTGCAACTTAGTGCCTGTTAAATCTCACAAGATTTACCCTTGGGAAAATGAACATCTAAGGAGCTGGAAAGGGTTGTATCCATCATATTTCTGATGTTCAGACTGTAAGTGCCATTGCATGTTGTACCTGGAATGGCACTGGTACCTATACACACACAAAAAGGGGTGGGGAGGAATCAGGATGCTTAAGGGAAATTGTATGTTTGCAGAAGTAGATCCTCCAAAAGCAGCTAAATAAGGACAGAGTGTGCTCACTGCTCGCAAAATGCTGATGTGGGGTTGGGGTTGTAGGGAACAGATAAAATGGGGGGGGGGGAGGGCGAGAGAATGAAATGAAGTGGTGAGGATGTTCAAGAGAAACACTCCATAGTACAAAGGTTTTTGTAAGTCTCACTCTGATATTATATGGTGCTTTTGTGCTGCAGCAAATTCACATTTTGCCACCCATACTTCATGGCAATGTTGGGGCCATCTCTGATCTTAGACTTGCACATTTCTTTGGTGTGTGCTGTGTAACCTTTTTCGGTTGTCTTTGCTGGAGTTGATATTGTCATAGAGTTCTACTCAATATTGATCCAGAGTAGATTCTGATGTATAGTTAGCAGAGCAACAACTTAAACACGTTGCAGGATTCCCAAAAATAGACCAGAGGCAATTGTATTTCATCCAGCAGAGCTTGACTGCTATTGAAGGCCAATGAGCATAATGGTCACAAATCCAATACATGCAGAATTGGCACTGTCCATTAAGAAGTCCAGTTGCAGCAGACTTAACTTAAACTTACAATAACTTATAATAAGACTTAACCTTAACACTATCTATGAACAGAACACCACACCAGAAGGAAAAAAGATGGAAAGAGTGAAACCTAGGCTCCTTCTGGTCTATTTTATAGTCAGCAGCATGACCTTGACAGAAAGAGATAAGAGAACCAGTTTAAGCCAGCGGTGCTCAGCTTTTCTGAAGGAATAACCCAAACATCATGAACCTTCTGCTAGTTTCTTTCACACAGAGAAGCTCCCAGAACCCTCTTGAAATAAGTAGAATAAGAAAGATCTCTGCACATAAGATCAATACTTTCTGCACTAAGAAATGCAAACTGACAAGTATTGACCCGCCTTTCCAGGGGTTAATACTAATAACTTGAATGAGCTACATACTGGTTGGTTATTTTACTCCTTTTCTTTCTCATAGGGATGCAGCAGTGCTCTTGACAGTGTGCGCACCCAGAGACATGCACAGATCCCAATTCTTGTAGACACATGAGCTTGATGCTCATGATGTTGCTTGGGGTACTAAACCAAAACCATGCTGACCCCTAGTGGCTACCTGTGATAACTACAGAGAGTGTAGAACTTCCTAAGTGACAAATGCTAGATTTTTTAAAGGATGGCTCAAGTCAAGTGCCAGCGCCTAGCAGTGTGCTGTCTTCTCTCCACAATGCATTGTGGGATTGGCCTTGCAGCAAGGTAAGCTTGGCTAGCAATATTGTGCACACACAGCCTAGGACTAATTTTAAAAGAAAGGGAAAATTTTTATAAAAGAGCAGAGCAGGACGTATCCTGGCTAGTGTTTTGCCAGATTTCAGAATGTAAGAAGTGCATACCCTCCAACATTTCTCCAATGAAAATGTCCTATTGCAGGTGGCTCTGTGGGTTAAACCACTGAGCCTCTTGGGCTTGCCGATCAGAAGGTCAGCAGTTCGAATCCCCACGACGGGGTTTGCTCCTGTTGTTCGGTCCCAGCTGCCAGCCTAGCAGTTCGAAAGCACGCAGTGCAAGTAGATAAATAGGTACCGCTCTGGTGGGAAGGTAAACGGCGTTTCCGTGCGTTGCTCTGGTGTCGGTGTTCCGTTGCACCAGAAGCAGCTTAGTCATGCTGGCCACGTGACCCGGAAAAACTGTCTGCGGAAGCGGACAAACTCCGGCTCCTTCGGCCTGTAAAGCGAGATGAGTGTTGCAACCCCAGAGTCGTTCACGACTGCACTTAATTGTCAGGGGTCCCTTTACCTTTATTCCATTATTATTATTATTATTATTATTATTATTATTATACCCTGCCCATCTGACTGGGTTGCCACTCTGGGCGGCTTCCAACATATATAAAAACCACAATAAAACATTAAACATTTAAAAACTCCCTTATACAGGTCTGCCTTCAGATGGCTCGGGGGTTGGATAACTCCATACCCTCCAACATTTCTCCGATGAAAAAAGGGACATCCTAAGGAAAATTGAGACATTCCAGGATCCAATCAGAAACTGAGACGGCTTCTGTAAATTCGGGACTGTCCCTGGAAAATAGAGACACTT